CAGTGTCCCATATTTCCTGGACATTTTCTGTTAAGGATTTGCTGGACTTAAGATTTTCTTTGGTCGATGAATCTATTTCTCCTAGTGTATCTTCAGTGCCTGAGGTTCTCTCTTCCATCTCTTGTATTTTGTTGGTTATGCTTGCATCTGTAGTTCCTGACCCTTTTCCCAGCTTTTCTATTTCCAGTATTCCCTCAGACTGAGCTTTTTTCCTCTCTATTTCAGCTTTCAAGCCATTCACTCTTTGAATTGTTTCCTTCATTTGTTTGGCTGCTTTTTCTTGGAATTCCTTGTGTTATTTAAGAGATTTGTTAATTTCTTGCAATTTTTGGTTTGTCTTTTCTTCCATTTCTTTATTTTATTTGTTTGTTTTTTCTTCCATTTCTTTTCTCATTTCCTCTTTGAGGGTCTTTATCATCATCATAAAGTTGTTTTTAGGGTCATTCTCTTCTGTTTCATCTGTGTTGGGATGTTCAGGTCTTGCTGGTATAGAATCCCTAGACTCGGGTGGAGTCATATTGATCTGTTTTTGAATGTGTTCTTATACTCTTGTCTTCCTATCCCTTCTTCCAGTGAGTACTGGTGGGTTCTCTCTCTCTCATGGTAGGTTGGGGGCCAGGGTTCTCTTACCGGGGTGTTCTAGCGTGTCCAATAATCTGAGGGTTCTTGTCTTCCCCTGGGTGGAGGTGGGACTAGCACTGTGATGTTGGCAGACTTTGGATGGGATCCCCCCAGGGCATTTCCCAGACCTCAGCAGAGTCAGAGATAGGCACTGCTAACTATTCAAAGTTGTATATGATGCTTGATCATTCATAAATGAGAAATTAAATAAAACCATTATTATTAAAATTTCTAATTATAAAATAATATTACACAATGTGTCTTAATCACCATTTCCCCTCTCTCAACTACTTCCAGATGCTGTAGAAAATATTTAAGACACAAAAGCTTAAAAATGGACATATATTGAAGAATGATGATGTAAGTAGTACAGCTCACACTATAGTCCTATTGTACAACAAAATGAGAAATTGTCCAACTTTGAAGTATGCTATTAGGAATTGGGAATATTTTATGGATAAGTAATGGTTGTGCCAGATATTGAATGATATTGGTCTCTGCTTTGAGAAGTGACAAAGAAGTGGACAATAAAGAACACTTACAGAAATCAGATTGGTGACGACCCTAGTTATCATTGTAGAACCTTCATCTAGTTTTTAAAGGAAGCAGATGCAGAAATCTAAAGCCAAACACTGGGGTGAACTCCAGGAGTTCATTTAAAGAGAAAAAGGGGGGATTATATGAGCAGGGTGTGGGTCAAGATCGTGATGGGAAATCCCACAGAAACAACTGACCTGAGATAATGGGAGCTCATGGGCTCTGGACCGACAGCTAGGGAGCCAGCATGGAACCAACCTAGACCCTCCACACATGGGTGACTGTTGCATAGCTTGGTCTTTTGTGGGGCCTGTAATTGGAGATTTCTCTCCCACCCCGCAGTTCCCAAGTAACCACTCAGAGGCTCAATATTACTTATAAATACTTAGCCAATGACTCAGGCTTATTAATAGCTAGATCTTACAACTTAAATTAACTAATTTCATTTTTTGTTTTGTTTTGTTTTGTTTTCTGAGACAGGGTTTCTCTGTATTTTTTCAGAGCCTGTCATGGAACTCTCTCAGTAGACCAGGCTGGTCTCGAACTCACAGAGATCCACCTGCTTCTGCCTCCTGAGTGCTGGGATTAAAGGTGTGCACCACCAACGCCCAGCTAGATTAACTCATTTCTATTCATCTATATTTTGCCACATGGCTGTGGCATTATCAGTCTGCTGGCATGTTGCTTCTTGGGTGGCTGCTGGCAGCTATCCAACCCAAACCTTCTCCTGTATCTCTTCTTGGATTTCCCATCCACTCTAATCTGCCTTGCTATAGGACAAAACAGCTTTATTTATCAACCAATGAGAGCAACACATATTCACAGGGTATAGAAAGACATTCTACACCAGGAGCCCCTAGCAGTGGGACCAGGACGTGTCCATGATGCATGAGCTAACTTTTTGAAGCCTATTTCCTGTGGTGAGATGCCTTGTTGCAGTGGAGGGGACAGGAGCACGGTCCTCATCAACTTGATATGCCATGCTTTATTAACTTCCATGAGAGGCCTTACCAATTTAGAATGGAGATGGAGAAGTAGATGTGTGGGGTAGAATGGAGGTAGGGGAGGATGCAGGAGGTGAGGATGGAGGGGAAACTGTGGTTGGTATGTAAAATAAATAAATAAACCAGTTCAAAAGATGACAGTGCAAGGTAGCAGTACAAAGTATTGGCACCTACAATACTATCTCAGATGCAGAGTGTGGCATTAGCTGGACTGGGGGAGCCCCCTGCAGAAAGGACCACAGAGCCATCTCATGTGGCCTTTCCATGTCAGCTACACAGAATCTCATTTTCCTAAGGACTTAAGAGAGTTTCAGTTTTATTGAAGGAGGTGGTAGATGCCAAGTACTAAGGCTGCTCTTTAGGCTAATCAACCTGGTCCACATGGGGAAAATAAAAGACATCACTAAAGGACAAAACTGGCCATGACTAGAAATCTGAAATATCTGAGGATGCAAGAAGAGAGCAAGTGTGGGTGATATTTTGGAAGTTTACACTATAGGCTTCAATAACTATTTGGATGATAGAGGCAAGATGAAACTTGATTGATTCATGGAACAGGAATTTCCAAAGAGTCTTTTGCAGGAATAATATTGAAGACTATTACAATACACCATGGCCATCATGGGAAATGTTTTGACCATTGCTTTGGCTGATTGTAGAATACCACTTTATAGACCAATGTAATTTTTTTCTGTGAGATCTGGCTACCATGGAAATCGTCTGCATCTCCTCTGTGCTGAACAAAGTTCTGGTTAGTTTAATTTCTTAGTAAAACAACATCTATTTCCAGGAATACATAGATCACCTCTTCTTCCATGTGTGGTTCATATTTTCTGAGCTATTGCTTCTCATAGTCATGTCCTACACTATTTGATCACTTGATTTCCTCTGCACTACAGCTCTAGGATAAAATATGTGGGGACTAGGCTATAGAACATGGTCAATCTGTGCCCTAAATTATTCCATTAATGCTGCTCTGATGACATGAATGACATGGATATCATTCTCTGGATCCAAGTACACCCACTGCGATGATACTTCCCAGTTCCCACTGCTCTCCTGCAGTACCTCAAGTGTAGAAAGTACCATGACTCTGATGGCTGATGACTTTTCCAGGGGTATCAAGTTCCTGCTTTCTTGCTGTCTAATGGCAGTATCATAACTGGAATCTAGCACATGTGCTCAGCTGAGGGGAAGCACAAAGCCTTCTCAACCTATTCATCCCATCTGTCTTAGTTAATTTTCTATTGTTCTGAAGAGACACCATGATCATCGCAACTCTTTTTTTTTTTTTTTTGGTTTTTACGAGACAGGGTTTCTCTGTATTGTTTCGGAGGCTATCGGTCCAGCCTAGCCTCAAACGCACAAAGATCCGCCTGCCTCTGCCTCCCGAGTGCTGGGATTAAAGGCGTGCGCCACCACCGCCCGGCTTCATCGCAACTATTATAAGGAAAACATTTCATTGGGGTGGCTTGCTTGCAGTGTCAGAGGTTGAGATCATTATTATCATGGTGGGGAGCATGGCAGCCATGATGCTGGCTACATCTCAATCAGAAGGCAACAGGAAGTTGACTGAAACACTGGAAAGTATTCTCAGCATAGGAAACATTAAAGCCAACTCTCACAGTTGCACACTTCCTTCAACAAGGTCATGCCCACTGCAACAAAGCCATGCCCCTTCATAGTGCCATTTTCTTATGAGATTATGGGGGACAACTACATCCAAACTACCGTGTCACCTTATTGTGCTCTCTGTTATCATCTAAGTGCCGTGTCTGCTTCCAACTACAGTCCAGAGAAAAGTTAATGCTATGGTGATGTATAAGGTCCTGAGCTACACACAGAACCATTTCACATGTTCTTGTTATTGTCAAGGATGCTCTGAAGAGATTCTTGCCCCATTTTAGGCATTAGTTGGAAATATACATGCTGTTCTGAAAGTGTAAGCCTGTCTCCCACCTACCTTGTTAAAAGTAGGTGCCTTGGCTATGGCCATTATAGAAAATTGCCTTTAAATTCAGAATATGCACATGTCCTTCTTGTTCTGTGTTGGTAGTTTTGATTAGTCCATACTTTCCTAGCTGTATCAAATAAAGCTTGATCCATATCACCACCGCAAGTCCTGGCCTGTGCTCCTCTTTCAAATAGAAAGTCATGTTGCCTTCAAAAGGGACACAAGAGAGCCTTGCCTGTCTGATGTACATTCTTGCATATCAGTTACTACTGCCTGTATGTGTGCATCACTATGTCAATATGAACACTGGTAAATGTGTAGTCTGTTGTCACTGTTTTCTCCCTAAGTTACATGTGGTCAAGCTTTGTTCTTCAGCTTTCCACATGCTACACCTCAGTCTTCCTTGGCTAGTCAAAAGTGGCACACCACTATAGAATCCTTGAGTCCAGAGGCTTGTAGCAGTATAAGGTGTAGAGGAAATGCTTCCTTACCTTGTAACAGCTGGGAACACATGAATTTAAACTGGTTTCTCCTTTCCCCTTGTCCCAAGCTTGCCTGTCCCAAGTACACATGGAGCTTCTACCCACATTGAAGATATGACACAGCTGCTCAGTGAATCCTCTTTTGAAACAGTTTAAAGAAAATAATGGAGGTGTCTCTCAGCAATATTTTTGGAGATCAATCCAGTCAAATTGTCAATAAATATATTAACCATCACAACCACGCATCATTGACATGGTCCTCTATTACCTGCTATTTTTCTCCATACTGCTTACCTCATCTGTTTATGTTTTTAACCATCTTTTCTGTATTAGTCACATGACCCTAAGTAAGATATCGAGTCTTTGAAATGTTCAGTGTATACATACTCACACCCAAAGGAATGAATCTGATAAGCTCTTTATTTCTGAGTTCATGACACAGTGGGCTGAGCTCATTAACATACAATATGCAGTGTTGAATAATAGCAACTCTTGAAGGATGGTCAGGTTACACAAAATTCATTTAGGCAGGAGAGATGCTGAGGTACAAGTTAGAGCTGTGATTTAGCAAACCTGTATAATGACATAGGGTCTGAGAACAGGCCATCACGCCAGTCTCTGGTTCTGGGCAAACATTTATCAATGTTGGAGTCAGGGAAGGTTCTATAGGGATCATAGGCTTTCAGAACCAGCTAATAGCTAAGGTCCCCTATGAACATTTTCTTCCCTCAAACAGGTGGATGAATCAAGCATCAGAGCAAACTGTGGGATAACAGTAAGAAAGATGAAAACAGTCTAATTAGGCCAGCAAATGTCTAAAACAAGTGTGATCAGGGTTCACTACTCTTCATCTCTGTAATCATTCATCTCAGCCTTATATGCAGAGTGTTAAAAATGGGGTTCACTAAAAGGATTGTACTCACAATTTAACTAGATTTGATTCAGTGAGTCATAGAAACATCTTAACATTGAATAACATTGAACTTGTAAGCATACAATTCTATGTACAAAGCAGAAATGGTTAAAATTACCCAAATCATTCAAAAGTCTAGAACTCCAGTATTATCTGATAGACAGTATGCTGTTTCTTCACTCAGGACATGACTTAGCCTGTGTCTCCCAGAATCAGGAGATGTAAAAGAAGGTCTTAAGTAATCTCTTTAGCTCTTTGCCCACTGTTCAAGAGTTCTTCTCCAACTCAAAGTCATCAATGGGGAAATAAAAGTTTTTTAAAGGATGCTTTGAATTCCTTGTTTCTCATGGTGTAGATCAGGGGGTTCAGAGAGGGGGTCACAGTGGTGTATAAAACAGCAATGGCCTTGTCCAGGAGCCCAGCAGTTCCTAGGGCTGGTCGGACATATGTATATAACACAGTGGAATAATAAAGGGTGACCACAATCAGGTGGGCAGAGCAGGTGGAGAAGGCACGCCTCTTGCCCTCAGCTGAACGGATGCGCAGGATACTGGCAATGATGAAGCCATAGGATGTCATGGTCAATAGGAAGTTCAGGCCAGATAGGAACATGTCTGCAATGACAGTCATGGTGTCATTGATAAAGGTGGGACTACAGGACAGCATGAGCACAGAAGGGATCTCACAGAAGAAATGTGTGATGAGATTGGGACCACAGAAGGACAGCGGTAACACCAGACAAGTGAGCACCAAGGCATTGAGAGCCCCTGTGAACCACACAAAGGTTGCAAGGGCCACACAGGCCCTGCCATTCATGAGGGTTCCATAGTGCAACGGCCAACAGATTGCAAGATAGCGGTCATAGGCCATGGCAGAAAAAAGCAGAAGCTCAGAGCTCAGGACCAAGGTGAAGACAAACATCTGTGTGAGACATCCCCCATAAGATATGGTGCTCTCTGTCACCAGGCTCTGCAGGACCGTGGGCAGGACAGTCACAGTGCAGATCACATCCATCAAGGCAAGGTTAACTAGGAAGAAATACATGGGAGTGTGGAGGTTGGGACTTCTGTGAATAGTTGTGATAATCAGGCCATTGCCAGCTATGGCCACTGTCAATAAGGTAAAGAAGAAGCAGAAGAGGGCATCTTGGACCCAGGGGTCATCCACGAAGCTTTGCAGGATAAACATGGTCACAACTGACTGGTTCTCAGGAACCATGGCTAACACTGTCTGTGTTCAGGATGGGAGTTGTAGCTTGGGTCTCTGGGAAAATAAAAGTGAGCTTTATTATGATTAACTAAAAATATTTTAAATTTCACTTACCAATCCATTCTGTGTAATGTAAAGAACCTGCTCACATGCTAAAGGAAATAGCAGGCCTAGGACACACCCCACATAAGCTCTGTCTGTGAACATGGGTGAACCCTGAATGCAAGGTCCCTGAACATATTGTTCCATATGTGCTGCACCGCATCCCACAAGGAAGGAGAGATGATCATCCTTGTGAGAACCACCCAGGACACAGTGACTGGAGACTGTGGTATAGATGCTGGGAAGACATGATTAGTCATCAGTGGGGCCATGGAAGGGTGTATGGCGAGTGGTACTGCCTGCTTCTCTGAGAGTGTGGGGAATAACATACAGAGCATTAATTGAATGACAGACTCTCTGCAGACAGAACAAATGTGGTCTTTGACAATGTGGCTTCTCCTGCAGGTAACAACAATGGCCCCAGATTTTTTTCTATTTTGGACCTCTAGTCCACTAGGACCTGAAGCTAGGGGACAGCATTCAAGACTCATACCCAACCTGAGGAGGCGAATAGGGTCTCCTGTGGATCCTAGGCTGTCTCTCAAACCCTTGAGTCATAGGAACTCAGCTGGTCCCATACCCAGCTCCTGCAAGGCTGCTCAAAGAGCCATCTAAAGGTACCAAACAATCCCTGTAGGAGTCCACATTACCAGTCCCTGTCCAGAGGGAACACACAGATCCTGAATGATGAGAAAGCAGGCCTCTGTTGAGAAAATATGGAGGTATGGCAACCCATATTGGGGCCTGCTGGACTGTGTATGCACTGGTCACTTGCCACTTTGTGTTACCAGACTCTACCAGCAAGGGTACAGTGAGGATAAGTCCCTGGGTGTGAGTTACGAATCAGAAGTTAAGACCAGGCTGACAGTGACAGGTAACACTGTGATATGATATGTGAAAGGCACCCAGTATAACAGGCTGCTCTCACCCAACTATCAAATCAGGATGAAAAATACATTTCAGGTTTCACAGTAGAGAATTTCACATGTTTTCAGAGAATATTCTAAAACAGAAAATAATCTTGGGCACTAATTTACTGGTGCTCCCCCCAATATATGTGCCACTCCCAGTGCTCTGTCTCACAGTGCTTCAGAGGGGTTTGCACGGAAGAGGGGTGTGGGTTGGTGACTATGCTGTGCTGTCTCTGGTGCCTTTCTAAAACCAGCAAATCAAGCTCATTGTGATGGTGGCACAGTGTGGGCTGGAAGGCCTGGGAATCTTCTCCTGGGGTCAATATTCATTGTTTGCTTTCACAGGACCTCAGACCAGGATGCACACAACAAGTAGCCCTCCTGTTTCACAAAGAACTCTAACAGTCATTGGGACGTGGCTGCAGTGTGTACTTGCTGTCCCTGAACAATATGAGCAATAGATCCAGCTGCCAGAGTTAGCAGATGAAATACAGGAAGCTAAGATAAGCAAGAGCACACTTTCAAAAACTTGTCTTAAATCCTGCCCAGGAAATCCCACTTCTAAATGGCATTTGTTACCGCTCTAAAATGCAATATAATCTGGACTTCATCTACTTTTTAAAATACTGATGTCCACTCAGGTCCACACATCCCTTACCTTATGTGTATTTGAGGCCAGTAGCAACTGAGGATGCCTCTGGGTCAGCATTCTCACATCTGAGAGATGAGCCACCATGTCAAACCACATGAGACTGTGCTCCCTGTCCCACACTTACCTCTAGTATATGCCCTATAGTTGCAGTCACAGATGAGGCAGGAGCAGCTTGCTGTCTGTGTTGTCTAGACAGCCTGACAAGATAAGAAGCAAGTAAGTTTCAGGGTCATTCCTCCTCCTGGGGAAAGTGTAGTGGCCTCTGCAGGTTATCCCCATTGGGACGATGACAAAATGTACATTGTTCACATGTGCCCCAGATTGCTAAGGAGTTGATGCAGGAATTCCTGCTGTATTGTATCCCTAAATTTCTCCAATCATCCCCAGTCAGCTATCAATTTGAGGGATTGATACCTACTTCCTCCAAGAGTGTAACTAGTGTGTTTCTCCCATGTTTTTGTGTAGTTGTGAGCATGGGAAGAACATATCTCAGTTTCCAAAAGTTGGGAATCATACCAGTGTGACACCTACCTGTAGGTCCACAAGTATGGGACTGGGTATCCAGCAAAGTATGTGAAAAGGAACCTGGAGGGATGGGAGAGAGACAGAGACAGACATACAGACAGACAGACAAACAGAGAGAGAGAGAGAGAGAGAGAGAGAGCAATTGTACTATAACTCAACTCTCCAGCCCTTTATCTCACCTCACTTCTCTGCAATAGCACCTGGACTTGTTGATTTCCTCTGTGGATATTAGAAACATCCATAGGAATACATTTATGTTCTGACATCAGAGACCCTACGGCTCCAACCGGCCCCCATATAAATGATCTCTTGATGGAACACCTGACAGGAAAGAAAGGGGTCCTAGCTCACTTAAGCAGCAAGATGAATCCCTAAGACTTTGACACAGGGTTGGTGACCCCTGCCCAGAGAGATGCATCTGAACCCTATAGAAGAGAGTCATCTAGGTCATGTCCTCACCACACCATTTGGGCTTCACACGGCTTTGTCCAGAGGAGTACAGAGGTGTCTGTCAGCTTCAGGTAATCCCGGCTTTAATCTACATAGCTTTGGCTGGGTGATGCAACCCAAGGCAGCCATAGCCCCATGAGAGCCCTACCCCAGGGCCCTGGCTGAAGTGGCCTTGCAACTATCTGTGAAGTTTAGAGTGGAAAGTGGAGGTGGAGAGGACTTGGCCCCAAGGGCTGATGGAAAAGGCACAGGTTCTGCTTACTGTGAGCTCAGGTGCTTTCCCAGATGGAGCTTATTCTTCACTCCAATCTCAGTTGAAAACACAGCAGGGAAGGCTCAGGGTCAGATGGTCACTGGCTTAAGCTCACCAGGAAAAGTTCTCAGATTTCTCCAACTTTATGGGCCAACACTACCTGCATTTGAGGCTTTGATGACCAAGTTTGTGAGGGAAAGGAACAGCCTACTCATTGTACCCTGACCTTAGCAGACAGAGGTTGAGTGTGAATGTGAGCCTGAACAGATAGGAGTCCAAGGTGTTCTGTTGCATGCCTCAGGCCCCCAGGAGCTGAGGGGAGTTGTAGACACATCAGATGTTGCTATGAAAGCCTAACTCCTCAAAAAAGGGCTAGCCGTGTGCCCTCAAATGGATTTACTTCCCCAGTGTATGTTCTCACATTTTCTTCCCAAGACAAAGGTTCTGGGATGTCAGATGTCTTCAGTTTCAGCAGATACAGAAACAGAATATAGCTGGAAATGGCATCCTTGGTTTTGGGAGGGTTTTGTTTTTGTTTAAAATTCAGAAGCAGTGTAAGCATTTAAAATTAATTTTAAAGTCTATAACCTTAATACTTATAACACACACACACACATGCGCATGCACGTTTTAGGACAGAAATTTCCCCTTTTTTCTGTTTGTAGTTGCCAATCCATTATAGTCTGAAATCCTCATCAGCAACAGCATTTTGAGAGAATTCTAGACTTACAGAGGAGCTGACAAAATACTATATGCACCCTTTTTCTAGCCTCTTTGCAACCCTTTGTGTCTGCCCCAGATACCTGTAAAGACCCTCTGTCTGGAACCCCCAGAGGCTACACTAGGTAGGGGCTGAGGTAGGTGTTTCTCACTCTTGTTTCTGTCCCCCATTCCAAAATCCCCAGTCTCATCCCCAGCCCTATAGCAGACTGACTGAAGGGGCCTGTCCTCCCATTCCACATCTAACCCTGGGGGACTCGACCAAACCTTGGCGTGGACCCAGTTGTTCTGCCTATAGACCCTTTCACCCCCTTTCTTCTGCACCTGGCCCATCCCCATTCCTTCCTTTGAAGCCCTAATACCCAGAAATGCTTTCTACTGGACCCCAGTGGTGGTACTTGGTAGGGATTCTGGTAGGTGAATCACACAATCCTTCCTGCCATTGATTTTTCCCCTCTCACCAACTCCTTATAACAACCTGCTCAGAGGTCCCTTTACTCCCACTTAAACTATATTAATTGAGATGCCAACTCTTGATTCAGACCTATGGTCCCCTAATATTTTCATCTCTGTCTTTCCAGATAATTCTTTGGTTTACATTAGCCTACTTCCAGGATCCTCTCTTTCCAGCACACTTCCAACTCCTTGGGGACCCCAATTGTAGGTGTGAACAGGATCCCCTTAGCCATGAAGCCCCATTCAGCCTTTTTTCCTTGCCGACATCTATCCCACTCTGCCACGCAGTGACATGCACAAGCACTCCCTACTGGGCTATCCACAGCTTTGGTAAGATCCAGGGAGAACAACTAAAGAAGGCACCAAGTTATATAACATAGTTGAAGAACAAAAAAAAGACTTCAAAACAATTATGAATATGTTCAAGGACTTAAATAGTATGTGAACAAATTCTTTAATGGAATCTGAAAACACAAATAGTGGAATGACTTTAATGACAACTCATGACATGAAAGAAGAATTTAACAAAACAAGGCAAACAAACAGAAACGCTAAATGCAAGCTTCTCTGGCAGGTACTTTGGGGAAAGGACCAGTCCAGCAGGTCTCTTCCCAGGGCTAAGCAGGATGGTGAATGTTGATGACTCAGACCCTCCCCACATGAGTTACCGGAGAGAAAATACACACTGAGTTGGGAGTCTGTCAAAGCAGGATCTCAATTTATTTTAACAGGTATGAACTTATATAGGTCTAAGGTAGGGCATGGGAATCATGGGATAGGGTCAAGTGACGTGAGGAGTAAGGGCAAATAATATGCCACCAAGCTGGCAGGTAGCTGGGCAGGGGGCAATCTTACATCAGACCTGGCTGAGTCACCCCCACGTGAAGTTTACAGGTCAGAGACAGGTTGCCAAACTCTAGCCAGACTCAGGAGGTTACACTGGACCTCACATCTGAGCCTTTTTTTAGGCCCAACAACTAAAGAAAACCCAAACTGAGATAAAACTGGAAATAAAAAGTTTAGGTAGTGAAAAATAAAAACCTCAGAGATAAGCCTCACCAATAGAGTACTAGACGTGGAAAAGAGAATCTCAAAAGTTGAATATAAGTACAATGGATACTACAGTCAATCAAATGTTAAATCTAAAAATTTCCTGACACAAAACATCCAGAAAATCTGGGACACTATGATGACTAAATATATGGGATAGAAGAACAAGCTAAAACTTAGGCAAGATTCAGAGAAAAGATTTTCAACAAAAACATAGAAGAACTTTTCCCTAACCTAAAGAAGGAGGTGCCTTTCAATATACAATAAGCTTACAGAACACCAAATAGACAGGAACAAAAAAACCTCTCTATGACACATAATAATCAAACACTAAATGTACAGAAAAAAGGAAGAATATTAAAAGCTGTGGTGATACATTATTTATGATTTATTAGAGTTTGCCTGATTATTCAGAAAGCAAAGTCAGCCACAAACTACAGAGATCAGGCAGTGGTGATACACACATTTAATCTCAGGACTCAGGAGACAGGCAGATAGATCTCTCTGAGTTCAAGGCCACCCTGGCCTACACAAGAGTGAAAAGTAGCATAGCTCACACCTTTGATCCCAGCATTTGGGATTGCATGACTTTATTCCCAGCACTGGAGAGGTGGAGACAAGAGTGATATGGGAAGAGAAAGGAATATGAGGAGGAGGAGACAGGAACTGAGATCCTTTGCCTCTGAGGATTCGTGGAGACAGGACAGCCCTTTCAACCTGAGGTAGAATAAGAGCTAGTGGCTGGAAGCTTTGCTCCTCTGACCTTCAGCTTGAAGCTTGGACACCAATTTCTCTCTGGGTTTTAGTTTTTGTGTTACAAAAAGCTGCAAAGGAGAAAGAGTAAGAAACATATAAAGGCAGGCTGTTAGAATAACCCTGACTTCTTTTTGTTCTTGTTATAGTTGTTTTCCATTTTCTATTTTCTTAATGCAGCCCCTAATGGCCAGAAGTGCCTGAACAGATGTTCTACAAACTCTGAGAGACCACTTATACTCATCCAGATTACTATGCCTGTCAAAACTCTCAGTCATCAAAAATAGACAAAAACTAAGTGATTAAACTAAATTTAAGAGAACCACCGGAGACCTGGGGACTACAAAAAGTGGATCCCATCCCAATGGGATTCAGCTCTTCCAGAGGCTTCCAGCACCATAGTCCCTTTCCCCACCCATGGGGCTAGGTAGGCCTGGGCCTGTTTACAGCCCACCTTCCAGTGATCTGCGCACAACTAGCCAAGGCCAGGGTACTGTGCACTGCAGCTCCCATCCCAGCAGGAGCCAGCCAACCCAAAGACTGCTAGCATCCAAGTCACACTCTGCAACCATGGGACAGGCAAGGTGAGCATGGGACTGTTTGCAGCTTGCCTTCTGGTGTCCTGAACAGAACCACCAGAGACTTGGGAACTACACACTGAAGATTCCATCCTGACAGGGTCCAGATTACTCAAAGATTGCCAAGGCCCTGGTACTAGGACCACCTTCATCCATGCAAGAGGAAAGCCACCAGAGTATTGAACCTGCTCACACCCACCGGAAAGGAATCATGGTCACATACACACGAGGAGAGGAAGAGACTCCTTCTACACCCACTGGAAGAAATGATGGGAAGAAGACAATATGAAAATACACCCAGCAAAAGAAAAACCAATAAGACAACGCAAGAGTCTAGAGACTCTTCACCCACAAGACATGAACAGCCCAATGCATATGAAGCATATGAGAAAGACCTAAATAACAACTTCATGAAACTGATAGAGGTCCTGAAAGAGAATATGAGAAAATCCCTTAAAGAAATGGAAGAAAAAACAAACCAAAAAATTCAACAAATTCAAAAAAGAGAAGAAAAAACAAAGCATAAATAGCAAGAAACAATTGAAACAGTGCAAAGGTTGAAAGCTGAAATGGAGACAATAAAAAACACAGTCTGAAGGAATGCTGGAAATAGAAAAGCTGGGAAAACGGTCAGGTACTACAGATGCAAGCATAACCAACAGAATACAAGAGATGGAAGAGAGAATCTCAGGTGTCAAAGATACACTAGGGAAAATAGATTCATCGACCAAAGAAAATCTTAAATCCAACAAATCCCTAACACAAAATATTCAGGATATAGGGACACCATGAAA